TTCATTAGGCTACTACCCGTGCGGCCCTGCTGATTAGCAGTTCCGTCCTGTCCTGGTGGTATTAACGCAAGCGGCGTCAACCCCCTCTTATTTTAAGGGGCGAAGAGGCTCGACTGAAAGGAGAGGGGCGAAGAGTATTCCTTCGATCCCAAGTGCCTAGTCCTAGCTAGCAATAACCTTCCTCTCCGGAATCCCGAACTGGTAATAAAGACTATATATCCGTAGGTCTCACTCCTTCTATGGCTCTAAAAGCAATTTCCTTAGACTAAGAGATTGGCATGGTAGTTTCCTTGGCCTAAGGCTTCTCTATAGAATAGACTCAACTCTTCCCACTGCTAACTGCTAAGCTAATTCTACTGCCGAGCTAAAGGCTGACGCAAGAACAGCTTATCCCTCGAACTCCCTTAATTACATCCCAGGAGGAGGAGAGAAAGGCCTGCAACCGGCAAATTCGCTAACGCTAACAGGAATCGTAAAAAGCGAAAGATCACTCAACTCAAGAGAACTTCTTAGGTAGCGCCTTTTCCTATTCCTATTGCCCATACTAAACCTAAAGCACAAAATCAATATGTTTCTGCCTGATTCTAAGGCTCCATTGTCGCTTCTTTTTTCGGAGCGGAGGACTTATCCATATATTAAACCAAACCCAGCCGGAGCCGGAGAAGTGCTCGCCCTATCAACTCAATGTAATCGACCCAACTTTAGAAGCGAAGCGAAGTGAAGTCAAGAACTGCACGCTCATGAACGAGATCTTTCACCCTGGATCGGTTCGTGGTGGTTTACCTGGATGATATCGTCATATATAGCAACTCACTTGAGGAGCACGCTGACCACCGTAGCACCGTATTCAAAGTACTTCGGGACAATGAGCTCTACGTGAAGGAGTCCAAGTGCAGCCCAGGAAGAAGTTCACTTCTTGGGACATGTCATAGGCCACGGACGAATCCAGATGGACGGGGCAAAGGTGAAGGCGATCATGGAATGGGAAGCGCCAACGAAGCGAATTACGATCCTTCTTAGGGCTGGTCAATTATTATCGCCGATTCATACAGGGGTACTCGGCGAGGGCCTCTTACCGACCTGCTCAAGAAAGCCGTGGGGGTATGGTCCAACGAGTGTGAACAAGCTTTTGAGGATCTTAAGGCCGCAGTGAGCCAGGAGCCTGTCTTGGCATTACCTGACTTCACCAAGCCCTTCGAGCACTGATGCCTCTGACTTTGCTATTGGGGGAGTGTTGATGCAAGAGCGGCACCCGATAGCGTTCGAAAGCCGAAAGTTAAACGACACCGAGCGGCGCTACACGGTGCAAGAGAAGGAGATGACGGCCATCATCCACTGCTTGAGGGTGTGGCCTCACTATTTGCTAGGGGCACACTTCAGCATTAAGACGGACAACGTGGCCACTAGCTACTTTCAAACCCAAAAGAAGCGGGCTCTAAAGGGTCCATGTTTTTCCATGAGCTGTGGTAGCTTGTTTGCAATCATAATGATTGGTACATTTTTCTTTTTCTTGAGTATTTTTGCATACTTGGAGTCAAGCCTACATTCTTGTCCATCGAGCACTTTTAAGAGGTTGTTTACGAAGCTGCTTCCTTCTGTTGTGGTTGCCTTCCTTTCCCAAGGTTGCCCTTGGTATGCCCCATGTGCGGCTTCTTGCTCATGAAACTCATCAAATACCCATAAATCGTAGTGATCATTGGCTCCTGCAAAGTCATTTCTTCGTGAACTTGCAAAGTAAGTATTAAGTACTTTTGCTAGGTAGTTTAATAGTAGTGTCTTTTGGGTGCTAGGATAATTGATCTACAGTCAAAAAGCTTTCTAAGTCGTTCAATAATAAATAGTCCGGGGGTTACTAATGGATCTCCTTTCCACATGTATTAATGTCAGTCAAATTCACTCTCTTATTGTCGAACACTTTCTCTCTATCTCCTGGGCACTCTGCATAACACTCTCAAGATTCTTCATGGTTTGTTTCCTCCACATTTAATAGTTTTGTTTTGTTTCCTGTCTTTCTAGTAAGAAAGGGGAAACCACCTCGTCAATTACATCGAACCTTTAGGGTTAGCTTCCGACAGGTGGTTGACCCGTGTTGCGCCGAGCTACTTTATTGAACTTTCAGTCTCGAATGAGCGATCCCCTAGTCGGAGGTCGCGCTATGAAGAGTCAAAGTGTAGACAACCCTTCCCTCAAGTAAGGAGGGGTTGTCGGCGAATCGTCTGCATATTATATAAGTGATTCTTTGTTTTCCTTGTCTGACAAGGTAGCTCCTAAAGCTAGGGTGAGCGTAGGAGCGTATCTAACCCAAGGTCTCTACCCCAAGGAGGAAGAGTGACCTCAAGGGGGAGAACAGATTCCCCGGCCCATGTCCCCTAAGGATGCAGGCCGGTGCTGCTGGGATCTGTAAAACCCCTTTCAGTTGCTCTTCCCCTCTCTGCCCCCTCCCTTTTCTTTTTGTTGTTAGACGTCCGCCATGAGTCCTGTAAGTACGAATGGGATAAGGACTCTATCCTTTTTAAGGCTCTG